GTGTCTGGTTTTAGCCGGGATCCCTCTGACATCAGTGATATCACTGTTATCAGTGATATCCCTAGTGGCATAGCCTCTTCTAAACCCTTTAGAACTTCTAGCAGTTCTTTGTCAATGTGCTAACTATTTTTGGAAATCTTCAGCAGTATTTTTCTTGCATGTGAAAATAATGATCTTGTTTGATAATATCTACATTCTATTAGACCACTTTTCTTGGGAATGGGAACAAATATGGATCTCGTCCACTCAGTTGGCCAAGTAGCTGTCTTCCATATATACTAGAATAAACCAGTCAACACATCCAAGGTTACCTCTGTTTGTTGACACGTCAATTGATGCTGCATTGATTCCTCGGACCTTATTTTTTGTCAGTGCCTTCAGTTCAGCTTGAATGTCATTTATTACCACTGGTTCTTGTTCATATGGCATTTTCTTTAAATTGTTCAGTGTCAAGTAATTTATTTTGGTACCAAGGCTCTGTTTTCTTCCATCTTCTTTTGATGCTTTCTGTATCATTCAAGATTTTGCCCATAAAGTCTCTCAGTCTTACAACATGAGTCTTGAATTTATTTCTGAGTTCTTTCATCTAGAAAAATGCCAAGCGAGTTCTTCCCTTTTTTATCCTTCAGTTGTGCTATATTATTTTTCAGTACTATTTTCATCTTCAATATGGATTGTTTGCAGCCTTCAATATGGATTGAAACTCAACACCACGAAAGCAAAGATTTTTACCATTGGGCCCATTGGCAGCATCATGATAGATGGTGAAGTGATTGAGATTGTTAACAGCTTCAGTTTGCTTGGCTCCACAATCCGCAATCTTGGTACCAGCAACCAAGAAAGCAAGATACAAATTGCACTGGGAAAGTCTACAGAGTACTGAAGAGCAGCAGTGTTAGTCTAGATGTGCCTGGTCCAGGCCAAAGTCTTCACAGTTGCTTGCTATGCATCAGAGAGCTGGACAATGACTAGAAATGATAGGAGAATTGATGCCTTTGAGCTGTGGTGTTGGAGAAGAGTGTTGAATATACCATGGACTGCCAGAAGAACAAACAGTTTTGTCCTAGAGAGGGTGAAGCCAGGTTGTTCTTTGGAAGCAAGGATTCTGAGGCTTCATCTGACATACTTTGGGTATGTTGCAAGGAGGGACCAGTCCTTAAAGAGGGAGATCATGCTTAGAAGGGTGGAGGGAAAGGGAAAGAGAGGAAGACCATTGATGAGATGGATTGATACAGTGACTGGAGTAATGAAGGTAGGTGTGTCAGAGATAGTTAAGTAGGCACAGGATAGAACAGGTATCAAAGCTGTTGTAATAGGGTGTCTATGAGTTGCAAGTGACTAGATGGCACATAACAAAACAACAACATTGTTTTCAGCCAGCTGGATACATTTTACTGACCATATTTTAACTATAATTGTTTTAGTTTAAAATGGAGACAGTAATAGAAACTCATAGAGCCCAGCCTCCTGGATGATCTGTTCTGCATATAGATTGAAAAGTTATGGAGATAGGATACATCTCTGGCATATACTCTTACTGATTTTGAACACTGCTGTGTTTCTTTGCTCTATTCTGATGACTGCCTCTTGGTCCAAGAATAGGTTGTGCATAAGCACAAGGAAGTGTTCTGGGATTCCTATTCTTCTCGAGTTAGCCACAGTTTGTTGTGATCCACACAGTCAAATACCTTTGCATAAAGACTTTTATCTGGTATTCTCTGCTTTCAGCCAAGATTCAGCTAACATTAGCTATAGTATCCCTAGAACCATGGCCTCTTCCAAACCCAGCCTACACATCTGGCAGTTCTCTCTTGATGTGCTGTTCCAGTAATTTTTGGATCATTTTCAGCAGAATCTTGCTTGCATGTGATATTAATGATATTGTATGATAATTTCTACACTCTGTTGGGTCACCTTTCTTTGGAATAGGAATAAATAAGGATCTCTTCCAATCAGTTGGCCAGGGAGTTGTCTTCCAAATTACTTGACACAACTCCTAAGAGAAAAAAACAGGTTTGTACTAGAGAGGGTGAAACCAGGCCGCTCCTTGGAGGCAAGGATTCTGAAACTTCATCTGACATACTTTGTGCATGTAGTAAGGAGGGACCAGTCCTTTGAGAGGGACCTAATATTTGGAAGGGTAGACAGCGCAAGAGAGGAAGACTTTGAAATGAATTGATTCAGTGACTGGAGTAATGACGGTAGGTGTGTCAGAGATAATAAGGTTGGCATAGGATAGATCCATGTTCAGAGCTGTTGTACACGAGCAACTCGATGCCACGTAACAACAAACAACAACAATAAAAACTAGAATTGTGAAGATTAACTGAGACAATATGCATCTTAAGCATTTTGTCTAGAAATTTCTTAACTAAAGTTATATTACTATTAGAACCTAGTAATTTGTATGTTCAGTAAGTAAATAAATAAATGTGGATTTTAAATTAAGATTTGGAAGTAGGGGTGACATCCACTTCCTTAAGAACATGCCTCTGGAAACTATGAACGTTGATAAATAACGATAGTTATAGAAAGGCTTCAGACCTTTGGTTCGTAGGGTCACTATGAGTCATGCTCAACTCAATAGCAGTCAACAAGAACAACAACAGCAAATTAAGATTATAAAATCAATTTCTAAAAATATGGGATATTCATCTGTTTTTATATTCATGTCATAGTTAATTTACTCTTACCAGTTTGTGTGATTTTTTTTTTTTCAGGTCACATTTCACATAGAACCATACAGAAATAGAGATGATCAAAATATGTATAAAAATGTCAAATACATTATAGACAAGTAAGTTTTCTTCCATGTTTATAACTATTGTTATCTTACCTACTTGTTGTTATGAAATAATCATTTTTAAAGATTTTTATGATCTGCCAAAATAAATTAATTTCAGGTTTTTTTGAAATTACTATTATCACCATTCTAGAATTCACTTTCTTTGTGAGTAACTAGAAATTGCTATTTATTTACTGGTTTTCATGTTAAAAAGGCCCTTTATGATTTTTGTCATGATATTTGAAAATTATACTTTTAGAAAATGTTGTGAATATTGACTTTTGTCCCTAAAGTGAAGCTTTGGAGTGTGAAATGTTAGTTTCTTTTTATAGCGATGGACAGACATGTAATGATTTTATTTCTCTTTCACCAAATTATAAGGAAATAATTTATTAGCACAGTTCCATTTTGTTAAAGGATTCTGTTGCTAAAAATTTATGATAGATGCTGTATTTTTACAAAAAAAATTGTCAATAACAATGGGACTTTTATTACTAGTACAAAAAATAGTTTATATATTAATGTAGAAAATAATGGGTTTTTTATGGCAGTAGTCATCATTTGTAAACCTTGAGATAATTAATTTTCTGTTTGGTTGTATCTTGATTTACACAGTATCTCATTTATTAATGTGTAAATTTAAAAATTCATTTTTAATAGTTTCTCTTATGTAACTGATTGCCCAAAGAAGGTGAATAATGTACTCAAAATGCACTGATTACCTTGATTTTAAATACATAAACTGCCTTTTGTGTTGTTTTCTTTTTCCTCTGTGAGCTCCGAATGTTCATTTTCTTTTACATATGTTTATGTTTTAGATATGGAAGTCATCCAGCCTTTTACAGGTACAAGACTAAGACTGGCAATGCCCTTCCCATGTTTTATGTCTATGATTCCTATATTGTGAAGCCTGAAAAATGGGCCAATTTGTTAACCGCTTCAGGGTCTCAGAGTGTTCGCAATACTCCTTATGATGGACTGTTCATTGCACTTTTAGTTGAAGAAAAACATAAATTTGAAATCCTTCACAGTGGCTTTGATGGAATTTATACGTATTTTGCCACAAATGGCTTTACTTACGGCTCATCGCATCAGAACTGGGCCAGCCTAAAAACATTTTGTGATAACTACAACTTGTTATTTATTCCAAGTGTGGGCCCAGGATACATCGACACCAGCATCCGTCCGTGGAACACTCACAACACGCGGAATCGAGTCAACGGGAAGTATTATGAGACGGCGCTGAGTGTTGCCCTTCAGACCCACCCCACTCTAATTTCTATCACGTCTTTTAATGAGTGGCATGAAGGAACTCAAATTGAAAAAGCTGTTCCCAAAAGAACTAGTAATACTGTTTACCTGGATTACCGCCCTCACAAACCGGGTCTTTATCTAGAACTAACTCGGAAGTGGTCTGAAAAATACAGTAAAGAAAGAGCAAATTACTCATTACATCAGCAACCGCCTGTTTCTTAAACCATTATAATTATTGAAGTCACCTAATTTCAGTAAATATCTCTTTAAGTTTTAGAAACTCTAAGAATCAGAATGCACTGTTGTGATTTTAATAAAAAGCATTTGTACTTTTTTTTAAAAAATAGGAATATTATCGTCACTTTTTGCAATGCTGTACTCAGCAAATACCTGAGAAAAGAGTTGTGCAAACAACATCCCTCATAGCACGATTTGCTGCATTTCTGACTGAAATTGAAATTCCGCTTTCATGGCAATTTAATTTTGATTTCACAGTGGATAAATGCCTGTGTTACATAAAGCAGCTAGCACACCGTTATATTTTGCTTGCATCCTGGCCCCAAAGAAATTGAACTGTGTGTTTACTTGACTTGGAACTACTCAGTAGCAGGAGGCTGGTTTTGGGTACATTTTTGCTGTTGTTTTATTTTGTTGATTTAAGAAAAATACCTAAGGAATGAATGAGTTTTGAGACACTGTACATATTTTTTTTTATTTTTTTCAGTGTATCTGTCATTTTTAACATACTGGTATTCAGTCTGAATAACTCATCAGTAAAAAATGAACTTAAGAAAAATATTATCAACTTTAAGCCTTACTATGGACCATATTGTGTTTGGAAGGTGTGCTTTTTTTTTTTTTTGCAGAATCAAATTATAGGATGCTTCCTGTTCTGCATGTTTAATGTTTCTTCATTACTATTTTGATTTTCAGATTTTAAAATCTGTGAAAAATAATTTTATAAAAATATATGATTGCTTCTGAACTGTTAAGTAAACATAATTGACCACAAGAATAACAGTATAATATTCCAAATACTGTTATCCTCTTGTTCCCTTGTCAGTCTTTAACATGTTTGTGTTTAAAATCTTTTAATTTAATTTTAAACAGAATTTTTGACCCAGAAGAAAAAGTTGATCGTGTCATTTTTGAGTTTGATTATTTCTTCATTTTAAATTAGTTTACCAAATACAATAAAGAAAATGTACTAACCATCTTAGATTTTGGAAACGTGGAGCTGAAAGTTTTTCAGGGGAAATCTTAAAAGTTACTCCAGAATTAGTATTAATGATGAAAGTAAGCTTTTCTTTATAAGCAGGAAAATGCCTTTAGTTTTTTATATCTACATTTTAAAATTTTATGCTATCATGGTACTGATCAAATTTCAACACTTATGATCAGTAATTGTCTTATGACAAAGTAATCATCTTTATGGTAAAAATGTATTTCTTTACTGTTAAAACTAGAGAATAAAAACTGTTGAGAGTTAATCCTGGTAATGGTGGTTACAGTAAAACTGTAATATATATGGAATTAAATAAGTATTCATTCTTAGATAAGTAATTCTCTTATAAGAAAAGCAACAGGATAATTTTAGTAACATAAATCACAGAGTATAAATTCATTCAGAAACATGAATTAACACTGAATTTAATTTAATATGGTCCATCAAAGGATAAAATTGATTTTTAAATAGTGATTCTGGAAAAAATAGTATGTTTATTTCATAAAGCATATTAATGTTAAAGTTATTTATAATCCAGGACTTTGCCATTGCTCAGAGAATGATCAGGCCAAATTAATTATGTTAGTGATAACCTGATTCTTTCTAGGAGAACTTGTAAGGATATATAACTGTGATGCCATTTTTACATAGACAAGCATTTTTATAGGTTCAATAATACAAATATAGCCTGTGGATTTTTTTTTCTTTTATGAAGTTAGTAGCCACTCTGTCATATCCTAGGGATAAACTCAAAGTGTGTCATATCTAACAATACTTTATACAATAGAATATTTATTGAAATTTAATTAGATAAATGCTTATTATACAGACTTTCCATCATTGCCTGTACCACATTATTTTTCACCCATTGTAGAAAATTATAGAATAGTTTCAAGATTAAGAGAAACGTTATAAAGATAAGGTCTGTGAATCCTTAACACCACGCTCTCCTGCTCTAATTGCAGAATTGTATCATCCCTTAGATCACTCTTTTGTTCTGAACTTCAGTAAGTTTCCTCAATGCATTACTATACCTAGTCTGTAGAAATCAGTAGAATTTCCAAGTAAGAGAAAATAGATTGTCTATTCCAAAAGTTATTCTGCAATCAAAGAGGAGTCTAGGTGGTGTATAGTTAAATATTCTGCTGCAAACCAGAAGGTCAATGGATCTAACCCACTACTGGCTCTACAAAGAAATTACCAAGCAATCTACTCCAGCAAATATTTCAGCATTGTTGTTGTTGTTGTTGTTGTTGTTGTTATCGCCGTCGAGTTGTTTGCGACTCATAGCAAACTTATGTACAACAGCTCTAAACTCTGCTCTGTCCTGTGCCAATCTCATTGACTCTGACACACTCATCCTGATTGCCCCAGTCACCGAATCAATCCATCTCAAAGAGGGCCTTTCCTTCCTGCACCTGCCCTCCACCCTACCAAGCATAT